TTTCTTTCCTAGTCACTAGCTGCCATGCTGTTTTCAAAGTCTGAGATTCTATCTTCAGCTTCATTCAAGCGGATTTGGTAGCTTTCAATGGAATCTTTGTTTTCCTGGAAATCTCTTTGAATCTGATTCATGCACTCTAAGTCCTTTCTATATTTTTCATTTAAGGCTTCCATCCATTGCCTTTGTTCTTCTATTTTCTTATATGTTTCTTCTTCAGACGTTTTGAGAAGTTCTTTCATTATTATTGTCATTTCATTTTTTTTGCCTGAGAGATGGTTTCTGATCTCATCTCTTCTATGGCCTTATGGAGTTGTTTCTTTACTTCCACTGCAATCATTTCAGCTATTTCAGGCATGTGTTTACCAAGTTCTCCTATGTCAATGTCTCCTGGACTTGTTCTGAGTGGGGTGGAGTTCTGGCATTGTGTTTTAGTCCTTCATTTTGTCATGTTTGATACCAGATGCAGAAAGTTCAGTTTCCCTCTTCAGTGGCTGCACAGCAAAGGCCACTAGTGTCCCTAGTTTTCCTGTTGATCAGGTTTGCCCCTCAGTTTCTGCTGAGAAGCACTACGTAGTCTGGGGTTTTCCTACAGTTGTTGATTTGCATCTAGTTATCCCAGGTCTCAGATGCAGGCATTGGTGTCAGTTGATGGCTGAATATCTGATCCAGTGTCCCCTTGCAGTTCAGGGCACATGCACTGCCCAGACTCGAGTTGCACTGGTGTGACAATCCTGGTCCAGGGGACCTATGTCCCCAGGCAGTTCAGGGTATAGGCAAAACCCAGACATGAACTGTAGGGTCGACAGATTGTGGACCACCTGATTCTGTGTCTCCAGTCAGTTCAGGACATGTGAAGGAAAAGATGAGGGCTGGACGGACAGCAATCACAGACTGCCCATGCCTGCGACTCCCCAGGGCGTCCGGGTGCAAGTAAAGCACAGACTCAAGCCCCAGGACCAGCAGCTCTTGGAGCACTTGCTCACTCAGCACAGGGTCCACACAGGGAGGGCCCACACATAAACCCTGGTGAGAGCAGTCCCTGGGGCTTCTGAGTGAGGATCTCCTGTCTGCTGTGGGTGCATGGAGGGCAGAGACTCAGACTATAATGGCAGCAGAGTCCTGGGTTTCCCGCTCTTCCCCAGGAAGTACATGAGAAATACCTGGCTCTCTCTGCAAGTTTCACCCGGGAACCGTGGTGGTGGGAGCAGGTCATAGCCTGCCTGGTTCTGCTTCATAGTCAATTCGGGGCATACACAGGTCTCTCCCTTCTTTAATTAGAAGAATATATTCCTTTATCTTCTGTATTGGGAGGCCAGGAGAATAACCAGTACCACACTGTTTTACAGTTACCCTTAAATTTTTATTAAAAGATTTATATTTCTTCAGCAACATTATCAGCATATGATGGAAAAAAAGATATTTCTTGACTCTTGTATTTGCACACCTGAGCCTAGTATCTTATGGCAAAGCCAATCTCCTAACATTTTATTGGGGAGATTAATCTCAAGAAAGGAAGGGTGAGCCAAAGAGTGAAGAGAGCTAGGAAAAGAGGGACTCACACACTGGGTGATTTGTTTCTGATCTGGCCCTATGGAACCCTTGTATCTTAGGCCAGGGCATCTGGGAAAAACTAGGGAACAAATTATCTATGTAGTATTCCCTTCTCTTTTGCATTAGTCAGGATTCATCACACAGGACAGTACTTCCTCTGCCTCCAGTTGCTCAGGTGTTTTGAGCAGCCAGTAAAGAAGCCTATGTCCACCTGATTCTACTGGAGTAGAGCTGGGTGCTGGAGATGATGAGCCCTCATCTCATCTTAGGGAGGCAGACAGCTGGTGCTCCAAAAAGAAGTGATTAGTGTGATAGCTTTTATGGACATAGTTAAAGAGTAAGTGTGCATAGACAGATAATGCCAACAAAACTATGTGATAGGGATGCATAAACTGAGTCTAGTACATCTCTCTTTATGCCCTGGTACATATGTAGCAAGGTTTATGTCTAATGGACATTTACTATATTTGAAATACGTTGGCCATCAACTTCCCTCTTGTCTAATGAGACTTTAGTTGAAGGTAGATTATTCACATTTTACTAGGTGGCATAATTATAGGAGAGTGATATATCCTAGATACCTCCAAATAATACCCAAACACTATATGAAGCCTTTCATCTTCTTCAGTTGAATCTTTAAGTCTAATCCTCACAATATTGTATGAAAAAGACATTTCTGACATCTTCATTTTATAGGAGCAGAAAATAAGTGAGCAAGTATCTCCAAAGACACACATCCAGACTGTTATAAAGTCAGGAAGTCAAGACACTAGCCCTAGTAGCCTAATTTAGAGCTTTCTAAGTAGCCCTTAATAATCACATGCAACTTTTTTGAGAAGAAAGTTAGATCACAATCTGAGGATGAGCAAATCTTCCATTATTCTATACTTGCCAAATACACAGTCAATCTAGCAAACTTCTGTGTAATGCATGAGCTACATACAACTGCACGACCACCCTAAAACCTGCTGTTGTACAAACATACCCTAACATCTACACAGTTCACAACTGCAGAGTTCAGCTGCTTTTCTAGTTACAGATTAAAAGAAGGCAACCAATCAAAACTATTTCCTTGAAAATCTAAAGATTTGGAGTATCTATGAAGTAACTTGCTTCTGAAGTCATAACTGGCTTTATCTCTTTCTTTGGACTGTGAGTTACACTCAACTCATGGGTTTCTCTTCTGTCATCAAATTATCATAGTGATCATGTATTTTTTATCTCAATTACTCCTGAGGGGATGGCTCTTGTGAAGCCCCATGGTAGGCTTCTGTCCTGCCTGAAACTACATAGCAAAGGTATTCTTTTTTTAATAATGTTAAATTTATTACATAATGAATTTTAGTTGGGTTATAAAGGACTTAAAACAGATAAAAGAACGAATACATTTATACACATCCTTGATCATCATTTTAACCAAAAGAAAGGAGCATAGAAATTCAAATATGTGCATTCAAATAAAGTGAGTCATAATGATTAATTACATAAAACAAATAGAAACTATTATAGCAAAGGTATTGACATGACACTGAGCCTTATTTTTGCCCTGTTTAGTTGTAAAAATGCTTTAGTTTGCACAAGAAATACACAACTATTGTTGCTGGAATTAAAGAAAACACTTTTTAAAATAGCGACTCATTGACAATGCAGTCAAAGATACTAAGAAGCTGAACACAGGCCCTAATTACTGAATAGCCGCAGAAATTTAAATCCTATTGCATTCCTCCATTTCCTTGAAAGACAGTTTACAAGATGATAAATTGAGGGAAGGAGCTGTCCTAAAACAGTTGCTGTTTAAGCAGTATCTGATGTGTCCTTTGAGCCTACTGATTGGATGTTTAAACAGACAAGTGTGGGCTAGAATCTAGGTTCTAGCACTGACTAAGAGCTAAAAGCATATTCCCAATCTCTCTGAGCCTCACGCAAGTACTCTATAAAAGGGAAATGATAAAAATTCCTACCTGAAGGCTTCCTTGAAGGTTAAATGACTAAGGCTTATAAAGCACTGAGTATGTCTGACTCATAACTATTCAAAAATCATCACATGACTGGATGCTAGGGATTCCTTGAAAACACACTATGATCTCTCCACTTGTCCCCTCTCAGTGATGTTTAAGATCTTCAGAGAACTGAAAATCAACTATGACAAAAGCTTTAAAAAAAGCCATCATTTTCTTATGAATGCAAATTTTTTAAAAGATATTGAATGCAGAAATAGTTGAAAATTCAAGGGATATCTGAAACAGACGAAAAACTTAGGTCCTATTAAAGACCAAGTAAAAAGAAAACAAGGAAATCAGGAGAGTATTTGAAAATCGTTAGAAAATAATACAAAATCATTAGAACAGAGTGCCATGAAGAATACTAAAATAGAAGGGATTTTCAAAAACGCTTCCTTCATCCATGCAAGTGTTTACTGAATATTTGATAAAGTCAGGTCTCCTCATCTACAAATCCTGTGGATTTAACCAAAGCCAGAAAATATTAAGAAAACAATCACATTTGTATTGAACATGAACAGACCTTTTTTCCCCTAAATAATGAACCTGAACAGATCTTATTTCCTAAATAATTCAGCATAACAACTATTTACATGGCGTGGCATTAGGGATTATAATAGGCTTGAGATTGTTCAAAGTATATAGGTAGATAGTTATAGATTATATGAAAATACTCTGCCATTTAATATGAGAGATGAGCACCTTTGGGCAAAAATAAAAGATGATAAAAATGCTTTTTCAGAGAATGTCAATGCCATGGTGGATTTTAGAATGAAAATTGAAGCAAGTAAAGGTAAGTGCAGAGGAGCACGCATTTCATTTTACTTGGAGGGGGCAGTTGCCAGAGAGGAGACACATGTTGCATGAGAAAGATGAATAGTAACTGGCTGATCAGATTGAAGGGTGGGTGCAGCCCAAGTGCTATGTCTGAGAGCTAGAATGTCCCCCAAAGCCTTGTGTGCCAGGACGTGGGGCTTCTGTACAGTGATCAGACCATGAGGTCGCTGTACTCATCATGGGTTGACCCACAAATGAGCTGAGAGTTAAGTGTTCTGTTAGAAAATGGGACTTGGTGAGTGGGTGTCCCTGGGGCTGTGACCTAGGGGAGGGTGTATCTTTATTTCTTCTCTCTCTGCTTCCTGGCTACTGCAATGCCAACCACTTTCTCTAATGCCAGGCCCTGCCATGATGCCATTGCTGCATTTGTGCTGGCTAGCTTGTAACCCTGAGCCAAAATAAACCTCTCCTCTTTGAAGTTGTGGGTGTTAGGTACTTTGTCCCAGCGATGAACAAGTAACTAAGACACCAATAATACACCAACCTATGGGGCTTAAAACAGCCTGGTGTGCCTGGGGAATCATGAGATTGAGATGGAGCTGAAGCTTCCATTGTGAGCCGTGTGTGGGTCATAGTTCTTGGCACCATCAGGGAGTTCTGTACAGAAGGTTCATTGTGCTGCGCTTCAGGTATTTGCTTCTGGTCACTCAATCTCAACTTAGATGTCAGAGGTTAGCAAACCTTCTTGGACCATGCAACTTAATTTACTCAGTCACTCCCTGGTAAGTAATCCTATTTTTATACTGTAAATAGCACTTACTAATATTTTTAAAATTTCTCTTATTGGCTCATCCTTTTGTCTTTTACTTCTCCGAAATAGTTCTTTGGGAGCAATATCTTATGTTTTCCCCGACAGGATACTCACTGCCTGGAATTCTGCCTGCCACAAAGTATAGCATCAATAAATGAAGGTTGAACATGTAAACAAGGGACAAAGCTTGGGAGGATTACATACTGTGATACGAATTATCTGTATTCTGTAGGGGAGAGAAACCATTGGTGATTAAGTATGAAAGAACATATTAGTTTCCTATTAGAAGATCATTCTCCAGATTAAGCAGAGGGTGTGCTCGAGAATGAAACTAGTCGGAACGCCACTGAAGGAAGTGAACCAACCATCTACAGTGACAAAGGATGAAAGGCGATGGGTAAAAACAGGTTTTCAGTGAAAGGGTCCGTGGGTGAAAAGGAAGCTGGAAGGGGAAGGAATAGACTAGGCTGAGTGCTCAGTAGTTACCTCTGCAGGGCAACACATGTGACCTCCTTTGTTCAGTCTGGTTTATGACTTGTTTTAAATTTTTAGGAAGTCAATAATGCTAAACCTGAGAAGCAAATGAAAACAGTGCGGAAGATGTGATAACAAAGCAGACCCCAGCGCCATTCCAGAGCAGAAACACAAGGTAGGTTTCATGAGCTCGAAACTGTAAATGAAGAACTCTGGCTGCCATTGGTTGATTTTCTTATCACCTCCAGCTCCATGTGCAAACTACCTAATCTTGCCCAGATGTGTGTGGACCTCACAGCCCACAGAACCAAGTTTTGTGCCCAGTCCTCAGAGGAAGCTTCTCCTGGTTACCACACAGGCCTAGAACCACACACATCGCCATCAGAAAAATGTACTTCAAGAGGCAGCCCAGGGGTTTTTCCACATGCCTTGGAAATAGGACTGTGGCCAAGTGGATGGAGAATTTCAGAACCTTGGGCATTGAAGAAGGAGTATCATGTGCTCTGGGTGGTCCATCCCCATGGTCTGACAGGTTTCCTGACCAATGAGGAAAAGCACAATTGAGGAAGGGACAGAGTGCTGGGTCCAGGGCAGGGGTCATTTCTGCCTAGATCTCAAGACAGAATTGACTGCAGGAGGAACTCCAGAACTAACAACCTTTCATCTTGAAACCCCATAGAAATAAAAGTAAGAAGTCTGACTCCCCAGAAATTCCAAACAAGTCTGTTTTTTTCTCATTCATTCTGAGGACTCACAAGACTGTTCCACTGTGGGTTCCATTCACCATGATCAGCAGTAGAATGATGAACTATGTGACTTTACCTGGTCATGTGCTCTCCCTGGAGCAACAGTGTGAACTTTATGACCTGCCAAGGGAGGAAAGGTGACCAGAAGGCCAGAAAAGGCCAAAAGATGTTGAGAGCTAATGACTCAATATGTGCAAATGGAATAAAGCTGGGCTGCTAAATGTTATGGAGGAGAAAGCAACAATGAATTAGAATATTTAAAGCCACACATTTAAACGTGGTCATGAAAGAAAGAAAAATATAATTATAGCATAGAAATTGGCATGATCTGATGGTTGTTTAGGCAGAGAGTTTCAAACTTTAAGGTACAAGTTATGCATCTGGTGAAAACGATCAAGTTTCAGCAGCTGAGGGGAGGAGCACGCCATTCTGCATCTCTAACATGCTCTCAAGTGTTACTGCTGGTTCATAACCTCACCTTGAGGAGCAACAGTTGAGGAAATTAGGCCTTAGAGAAACAGTAAAATTGGCAATGTGGCAAAGAATGGTGAAATGAAAATCAACAACCCTCGGGCAATGCTTATCTCTCCCTTCCTATTATAATCTTTTTCCCCAGCAAAGAGATGCCAAACAGTGCTATGGAGTAGCGTGGGCACATTCCAATGCTCTTTGAAGAACATTACAAGAATTTTCTGACCTAAGGTTCATCTAGTACACGTATGAAGCAAGAATGCTGAGCTTGCTATCCTACTGTGCTTCCCATCCGCACAGAGCTGCAGGACCATGCACAAGTAAGCGCTGGCCATGCCCAGGGTATGTGATGCTGGAACAAGTAGCTGAAGATTAGATTAGGACAGTCTTGAGTTATGAGCAATGACAGCATGGCTCTAGTGCTGATGTGCTTGTGTGCGTCAGATTCTGTGGACACCCCAACAGCCAACCACAGAGTTTCAGTCACATTGTCAGTGGTTCCCGCCATGATTTAATTTTAGTACGTCCTATAAATAATGAAACTGAGTGGGTTAGAGATTTACGATGTCTTCTTTCCATAGCTCAAAGATCTGAAAATCATATAAATTTTGCCAAGTAATGAGGTGTCAGCACCTTAGAGTGACAACAGTAAAAAGTACCTGTTAAACTAAGGAAGTGAATTATTCATCAGTAAAAATATATTTCTGCAGTTTCTGACCTGATGCAAAAACTATATCTCTTTTTTCCACAGATAATGACCTCAGCAGTGACTTTTCTGAAATATTAAGAGCACTATTGCGGTGACAAACTTTCTCATGAAGCATTCAATTTGAAGTTTCAAATACTTCAGAAACAAATCCAGCATCTCCTGTGTCTCAATTCATTGCTGGAAAACAATATATTTGTATAAGCATCAGTCCTGTGTTCTAAGAATTTATCTTGATATATTATTCTATGGAGAGTTATTAATTCTCTGAAAATATGGTTTTTCACTTAAAACCTTGAAAATCTTAAAATCTGAACAGAAGTTCCTCCCTTTACTTCCTTATGATTTTAATTCTCATCTCACCATGTTGGAATTCAGAAAGTAAAACCCAAATAAAAAACCCGATTCATTCTTGACTCTGCAAAGAATACTGTTTTAAAAAAAGAAAATCTATGTTATGTAATTAAGTTATCCTTTCTGTTCCTATTATTCTTACTTTCCATGGTAAGCTCCCAATTTCTTTGTTTAACTTACTTTTCTGATGTCTGCATCTCATCTTATAAATTTTCTCATTTTAACGTATACGTCACCTTCTTAGACAGGTCTTTCTTAAGGTGTATTTATTTGCTTAATTCCTAATGAATAAGCTCTGGTAGATATTCTCCTCTGCTTTGGGTAGTAGACTAGAGAACAACAGTATAATACATAAAACGTACTATGAAAATATGTTAAGTAATTATAGGAAAAAGAAGAAATAGTCCATAAGCTCTTATAAAATAGATTTTAATTCTTTACTTCTCTGTTGTATTTACAGCAGAAAGATGGTCAGATGTACTGTGGCCTTTTCACCACATGGTACATCTTTCTGATGGAGCATGACCAAGGAACCACATTTGGACAGTCCCTGCCTCATGCCATGCAGCTCACTTTTTCCACTTTTTACCTATAACCCAATGCACAGTTTATCTCACAAGGATTGCATGTGGTGAAGAGCTGAGGCTGTGAGTCGAATTGCAGGGGTCCATACCCAATTCTTTTGATACATCTGTAACAATGAGCAAGACATTTAACCTGTTTAGGACTCCTACCCATAAGAGGAATATAATGTTTAACTCAAGGAGTTATGCTCTCATTCAATGAAATAATTTCATGCAAAGTACTTAACCAAGTACCTGAAATATATAAAGACTTGATATTACATGGATAGTATAATTATTATCAGTTTCATATTTGTTTTTCAGTTGCAGAATGAAACCCTGAGGCACTTGAAACAAGTCTGTTTGGGGGCACTCACGTCATCCCTCAAAACTGTTTGAGAGCTATGGCTACCCTGATTATTCTTTATTTAAAAAAATAAATTTTATAGTGTACATTTGAGGTTACAACATGACACTATGGGATACACAGAGAGAGTCAGATAATCATAATAGTGAGGCAGATTAATAATATATCATCTCTAGGGCCAGGGATATAGCTCAGTGGCATAAGTGCCTTCCTGGCAAGCTCAAGGTCCTGAGTTTGATTCCCAGTACCAAAAAAATAAAAAAAAAATAGTATATCATCTCACATTACTACTTTCCAATGATAACAGCTGCTAAAATCTACCTGCAAAAAGTCCTGACCACACGATTTTATTAGCTTTATTTCTCAAATTGTATATTATTTCTCTGGACTTCTCATTATACCAGTGTTCCATTTTATATTCTTTGACCTACATCTCCCATCTTTCTCTCTGTCTTTCTTCCCAATCATGCTAACCACTGTTCAATTCTCTTGTATTTGAGTTACTTAAAAAATAAATTTTATGAATGGGTAAAGAAAATGTGTGTGTGTGTGTGTGTGTGTGTGTGTGTGTGTGTGTAAGAAAATCTATACACAGATGATTAAAATGGAATTTTATTCAAACTTTAAAAAGAATCATATCCTTCTACTTGCTAAAACATGCATATGCCTAGGAGATATGCTAAGCAAAATAAATCAGACAGAGAAAGAAAAATATTGCATAATCTCAGTTATTAATGCAGCATGCACTGTTACTGTTTTCTGAGAAAGCAGGATGACAGGGAGTGTTAATGCCTCCCTAATATGTCTCTGAATCTCACCTTTACTTAAAAAAGTAATGCACTCAAAAATGCACCATGAAGTATCCAGATACTCTATCTTCTTGCACTGCTTTTATTATCTGTTATCATATTATAGATCTATTGGCTTCACCACTGCCTCTCTTGCTACAATTGAAGCCCTATATAAGCAAGGAACTTGTTGATCTCATTTATAGCTATATCTCCAATTTATAGTAGATTTTTCATAAATATTTGTGTAATTAATGGATTTTCCTTAAAATCTGTGAAAATAGGGGCTGGGAATTTAGCTCAGTGGCAAAGCGCCTGCCTGACAAGTGCAAGGTCGTGAGTTCAGTTCCCGGTACTGGAGAAAAACCAAAAAAAAAAAAAATCTGTGGAAATACTTCAGCACCATGTATGTAGTGTACATACCCAGAATACCTTCTAGAAAAAGCTCTAGCTGAATTTAGTTTAAAGAATGGTGGTGTGGGACCAGGGATGTAGCTCGGTGGCACAAGTGCCTGCCTGGCAAGAGCAAGGTCCTGAGTTCAATTCCTGGTACAAAAAAAAAGAAAAAAAGAATGGTGGTATGTCATAATATTAGTGCAGTGACCTATGTTCTAGACATGATTCTGCTATAAAATGTGAATCTTCAGATAGGCACAGTATGACTTTCACACACAACTGATAACATTCATAATAAGCTAAAACCTTCTCCCTAGCTTTCTTGATTCAGTTCACCAAAATCAATACCTTGCTTATTGCCTATCAGGGTCACATTTTTTTGCTGGTAGAGCTTTGGGGAGATGAGGAGATAAGTAGTGGACAAGACCAAATTGTTGAATAAATCTTTATACTGAAAGAGTATTAGTGAGGAAGAAAAGATAAGCACTCAGGCAATTATCTTATCCTATTACTACTTAACAAATATATGATTTATCTTTCAATCTTCCATTATGCAAAATAAAAGTGGCAATAAAAAGTGGCAGAGTCTTACTAGAATTGCACAAAATAATTTAGGTTGCTAAGTACAAGTATTTTAAAAACTCAGTTATCAATTTCTAATTTAAGTGTTTTGAACTTAAATTATCTATTGTACATTATTAAAACATAAAAAACATACACAAATATACACTCAATTCCTCCCATTCATTATTTTATTGATTGAGATGGTAATTTGTTTTAATAATAGGATTCTTTCCCTCAAAAACCCAATGAAAAGCACAAGGTACAATTCTTATATCTTTTGCTTGCCTAAGAAGAGATTATAGCCATATTAATCCCACGATAAATGTGTGTTATTATAGTAAGTCCATGACTAGGTGCTAATAAAGAATATTTAATTGTTGCCTGAATATTTAGAAATCTAAAATTATCAATATGATGGAGAGAAAGTAATGAAAGTCAAATAACAGTTTCACCTTCTAAAATTATTTAAGTAGAATCCACTGCTGAAATATAAATTGTACTGCATTTTAATGCTTTGAAATGAAAGTTATAATATTACAGTCTTGATTCAATAAAAACCATCAAATATCACATTCGTTCCTGGCATGAATATACTCTGCTCTAGAACTGAACTTCCTTGCTTCTTTCCTGTATTAGGACAGCAAATTTCTTTCCATGATATACAAACACTGGACTACAGTGTACTTTGTCAACAGAAAAGAATGTGAGATTTCTGAAAGCCTTAGTAACCACAAAACATACAGTAATTAAAGAGAACAAAAAAACCAAGGATAATTTTGGATTGGGGCAAGCAAAGCAGAAAAAAAAAGGAAGGCTCACTCTATTTTTTTATACAATAAAAAAGCATATGTTTGATAAACTGATGGCAGCAATAATTTTAAAATTGTGATTTACAGAAGTAATCTTATATGCTCTGTAAGTCACATCATGAAAATCCGTCTCTAGCAAGCTTGCCAGCTTTAGAACTAGAAATGGACTTTGTGTAGTGAAAAGTAGACTGCTTGCCACCAAGAAAATAATCACAAGAAGGACAGACCTAAAGCAGTATCATCAGAAAGCCTGAATCTTTTAGCCCATGTTCTTGGATAATATTTTTCCTTCCTGGCCTTAAGCACCCATGAGAAAGGCAGCTTTTCATATTCAAGAGATTCTGGATGGGCATTGGATTCTGAAGTTTTAAATCAGACTGTGCCAATCTCCAGGCAAGGATCTATGACAAATTACTTCACATCCCTTGAGATCCATCTTTCCCTTTTGCAAAAATGGAGGTATCATATCTCTTCCTTCAAGATTTGTGAAGATTAAATGAAAGCATCTGATGCCAAATTGGTATGTAACTGAGTTTCAACAAATATTAGTTTCCCTTTTATCCTTTCAATGAATACAAAACAGTCCAAGAAAAGTGTCTTCCATGCTTACTGATACAATTTTGAAAATTTTAAGCAGCAAGAAGGTTTTATTTGGTAATACGCACAATCTTGAGTGAAAGGGGTTTCAATTTATTTTGGAAAAATCACCCCTGGCCTTTTATGGATATAACAATGATTACTTTCTCATTTCCATTTTAGTGACCTACAGCTACACTAAGCACCTCACCAAAATGAATAAAACTCATTCATTCGTACTCATACAAATATAATACATATGAAACACTAAAATATGAAGTCTTCTCATAATCACCTTTATAAAAAAGAGGACATTGTAGAATTTTTACAAAGAAAATGAATTCTAGGTATAGTTTTGCACCTTGTAAATGTGTCTTCCGAGCTAATACTGACTTCAGTATGTAGAAATATCCAAAAGTACCAGCAGATTAGTGAATATTTTATTCTTTCTTTCTTGAACTTTGCCACCATTCTTAGGAGTGCTATATTCAAAAAGAAAAAGTTTAATCTCTCTTCAAAATATCCATATTTCGTTAAGGTGAAATCATTCATCAAGAACAGCAAGCCTTAAAAGAAGGAAATGGGTATCTCTGCTTCTTTCCATTTTTCTGTGCTGTGTATACAGTATAGGCCGTCAGCATGTATTTAACCCAATGAAATGTTCACAGAATTTGCGTGAAAATGGGTAATGGTGAATCACATAATGGGCACTTATTAATATCACAGGGAAATATACCATTGCCATAACATGCTGCAGGACTGTGCAGAAGAGAGAAAGAGCATTTGTACTATTTAGGAAAAGAACAGGATGTCATAGGTAAAATATTTAGAAGAGGAATACTCAGTAAAATTGGTGTAAAAAAACAGCACTTGCCTTGAACCAGCTCACAGTCTAATGAGACAGAATACCCCACAAACAACCTAAAATAAACATGCAGTTTATATATAACAGAGCAGCATAATCAAAACATGATTCATATAAAAAA